TTTATAAAATATTTACAACGCAGTTCACATAAAAGCCAGGCACTAAAAGACTCTCTGACATTAATCAAGAAGGTGCAGTGAAAGCATGTGTGAATACTGAAATTCAGAGGAGTTGAACTGTGCTTTCCAGAAATTGTGCGTTCTGCACTTTTGCTCCTGAGGAAACCCCCTAGGAAGCCAGATCAGTACTCTGGGCTTCAGGTTGAGGTCTGTACTAGACACTGCTTGAAGATTGCTTAGAATGCTGCTGTTGGCACAGACATCACAAGTGATGATTACTTAAATGCCCATCAACATTTTTGTACATCTCGTTCTTAATCCATGCCTTTGATAGAGCACAAAACTGATCCGCGGAAATAACATCAGAACAGGGAAATTTGTTCTAGGTTTCCCTCTAGGGATGTGAACCACTCTGAACTCCAGAAGACTGTAATGAGATGAAAAAAATTCTGCAGGTTTCTGTGGTTTTAGGCTACTAATCCTATGTAGTGGAGAGTAAGGTATTATATGTGGTGTCATGACTCAGGTAACAGGATACTTTTCCTTTGTCATAAATGAGACATGCTTTTTCTCCGCTGTATTTGCTTTCTCCCTAATGCATATTCTACTTTCTGTGTTACTGTCAAAAATATTGTAATGTAAATGTTGTAGGAGAGTAGGTTATTCACTCATCTGGGATATGAAGATCCTGTTAATTTTAGAAGGTGTGTTTAATAAAATTGCATCGTTGGCAGAGACCTTTTCATGATATTATACAGTGTTTGTTAGACAGATAAAATCTTTTTGCATTAGGTTCAAAGCCAGAAACGAATTTCCAAAGGAGCCGGCTGCCTAGGTTGCTTCGATATTTTGAAAATCCCCTTAGGCCTCTGTTTGCAGCTTTTTGGCACCTAAATACCCTCAAAAAATCTGGCTCAAGAGTTATTACAGTAACTCGAAGGAATAATAACTTATGGTTTTTTATGCCAGAAGGATTTTACTGGCACTGAGCATCTTGATGTTACACTGGGGGAAATTATATTTACATGTTTGAGAGCACTGAATTAATTATAAAATAAGACTTTGTTTAACGTATGTAAATAATCTGTTCTCAAATATATTATTCCTTGTAGGACTTGAGATAAGGTAAAGTGTTTTACCAAGCCTAAGAAGGCTGTAAACAGGGAGATGGACAGTGTTCAATGGGTGATTAGTAGTCTGGAAAACAGACATATAGCAACCAAAACATATTGCTCAGCCTTAATGCCAGACCCATCACTACTCTTTTTTTTTTCTTCCTTGCTGCTATTCTTTTGCTTAAGCCTCTTAAAGTCTGCTTGTTGATTTTCCAGTTCCTATGAAAATTTCTCATATAATTTCAAAATAACCTTGAAATTATTTATTTTGACAATTTTAATGTTGTTAATCAAAAAAAAAATAGATATTTTGGCTTCTGGGTTATCCTCAGGCAAGGGAAGAAATGAATGGAGTCTAGTCTATGTATCGAACTACGTATATGTTTTCTTCATGACCTCAGGAAGAGCCCAGAACTGAAAGCTCTACATTAATTTTTTATGATTAGTTTCTATTCTGATGAAACCTGTTTCTTTACATCTGTGATAATATAGTTGAAGCAAGCAGAGCTATAGGGCTGGGAAAATGTCAGTAGTATTCCTATAATTTAATTTTAAACTCATGACCATAATTGCAGGAAACAGGTTTTGACTCATTTTTCCATAATTCAGGTTGTATATCCATCTGTGATAAAATGTCTGAAAATAAAATTGATCTGACTTAAGTAGGATTTTTCCACCTTGCTTCCTCTAGTGAACATGAGCAACGAGAATTGCATGATATAACATTTCTGGCACATTCTGAAAGACTGGTAAAATCCAAATTCTCTGCTACACTAAAAATAAAAATTCCACTTGACACAGAAATGGGGGTATTTACCACTGAAGTAGATTTTGCTGAAATAGATGCACATGCTGTAAACCTGGTTGTTTGCAGTCACTTTACTCTGCTGGAAATTCAGGGTGATACCTAACTGTATCTAACACAATGTCTGCAACAGATTTTAGTGCAGTTCACTGATGACCAATACTCTGTCCTCTAGGAGAAGATGGTACGTAGCCTCCATAATCTCCTTTGTAGTTTTTTGGAGGTCACTGGGTGCTTAAAAGCAGGAAGGTACTTACCTCTTCCCTACAGTACCTGCCACAGATAGCAGTACATTCCACGGCAAATAGTAGAAAGCAATGTTGACAATCTACACCAAAGGTGTATTTAAACACGTCTCATGCTTTCTCTTTGCCTTTCATTGCCTTAATATCAAACCAGAAAGGATTTCTTTTATTGTAAATTTAATTTCAAAAGCTTAGTTTTTGTTTACTCTCTTAAAAAAACTATCCCTTTTTAATCAAATTAATTACACAGAAGTAGCAAGGGTACAGGCTATTCTACCACATATTTGCATGCTGTTATTTAGTTGCGTTCTAAGACATGGTTCCTGGCTAACAATAAGCAGAATTTATTCTTTTTTCATAAATTGAAAATTAATGTGCCCTACAATTTGGAAAAGCAGAAATTAATAAAACTGAGCCATTAAACCAGCTGGAGACCTGATTGATTTTTTGTGACAATTTTGCTATGGTCTATGTTATTTGGGTGAAGTGTCCATAGGTAATGGCTGTTTTAAGGAACGAAAGCGTATTTGCACCTGTCTGGAGTAGTTCTGTGCAAGAAGTCCAAGCTAGTAGAAAGCAAGTGATGTTTCTGCTTATGTGGCACCTGTTTTTGATTTCAGAGGGGAAACAAAAGAAAATTACTTCAATGGGTGGTGGCATTAAATACAGCTGCTCCCTGGCAGAAAGCATGTTATCTTCCTTTTACCCAAGCAAAAACACTTCTACCTTGCATCATGAATAGGATCAGAGCTCCAGCTGTGCTCTCCCAGGGGAAGAGACAGAAAGGGATGCATTCCCCAAACCTTTCCTGCAGTTATGAAATAAAATTCAATAAGTTTGTCATTTTTATTATGCAGAGGAAGATGGGGATGACCAGAAGGACATTTTTGATGGAGCTGGCAAGAAGAAAAGGTTTCAGAGTAGAAAGTGAGCTAAGGTAGGAAAATGTTTATACGTGTAGAAATGTAGTAATGCTGCTTGAAGCATTCTAATTTAACAAATGCAGTCATACAAGTGGCTGTGGTTGAAGTTTTTGCCTATGTATTTGGTGGATATACTTTGCTCTTCCTAGTGTAAAGATTATTCTGAATTTCAGTGGATGTTCCTAAAGCATGGTTTATTTCTGTTCTCTTCTGGAGAGAGAGCCGGCAGAAAACAAACATTAGCAAAATTTCTAATTTTTTTTTACTTCTAAAATCTCTGGTTCTAATTTATCTTAAGTGTATTAATGTTAATGTGTCTGCATTTTTCAGTGTGCTACTTCTCACATGGAAAATAAAAACTGTAAGGTGTGAAATTGCAAATGTTTCTCATGGGATATGTTTCTGTGTATTCGTGTAGTCTCACTGGAATCAATGAATCGTGTCTTTAGCTGATCTAAATCAGTAATTGTTTATTTCCCCCTTGAAGTCAGATTAAGATTAATCTAAACTTAATGGCCAATTCCTGAAATGGAAAAAAGTTACATATACAGGAATGGAAAATGTGATGGGTTGACGGGGGCATTTCTCTAGAACATCTCTGGTATTCTAATATTTAATCTTCCAGTTAGTAATACACTGATGTGAGTCTCAAAGTTACTGACTTAACACTTTGGTACAATTTGGAAGACCGGAGAAAAAAACAGGAATAAAATACCACAGTTGCAGCGTTTCAGGATGAAAATATACTCCAGTTGTCTGGTGGTGTTTCAGTAAGCCAACTTGAAGGAAGCCTTCCTCCAAATAGCGCTTTTCATGAGTGCTAGTTTTATCATTATGCAGTTTTCTGAAAGCTCCGTTATGTAGGTTCTCTGATAATCTGGAAGAAAACCAAGTATTGATTATTTCTCTGTTTCTGTATGCAGATAGTATATAACTGTGTCCTCCCTATAAAAGCTCATTTCCACAGATTTTTCAGTCCCATCAATTTTGAAAGCCTGAGGAAGAAGGGAGGATGAAATAATTTGTAAAGCAAGGTTCAAGCAGGTATTGAACAGAAGTAGGCAATTAGTGTCTGATACAAAACTAATTGAATTCTCAGGGGAAAAAAAAATGAACTGGGCTGTTCTAAATCCTGCATTAACAATCCATTGAGGACTGAGTAGAAGATTTGTCTGGGCTGCTTTGACACACAGTTATTTATTGCCAATATTTCAGACTTTCTGAAAGTTGTATGCAAGGCAGGTGTTATGTTTAATTCCAGCTTAGCTGCTGCTGGGTAAACCAGAACTATTTAACTGTTGATTTTTGTTTTGAAAATGCCAGAGGAAATGCTAAATTTATGTTCTGTGCCAAGCAAAAAGCACAGCTGTACAGGTACCAGAGGAAACTGGTGCACAGCAGCTAAACTGCTGCTGTGAGCATAGTGATGGCAAAGTTCCCAGAGCTGCAGCTTGGTACAAATACATTACATATGAATATTTTATATAAAGTGAAATAAACCACAGGAAGCAGACGCTCTATGTCTCTAACTGATTTTTTTTTTCACTCAAGTAAAGATGTGACAGTTTAATTAAACTAGAACCTAGCAGGGTTAAATAATAATAAAATAAATAGTATTTCATGGAGAGTCACCTAACCTAGACTTGTAATCTTTTAGATTAAAATTAATCGGGATTTTTTTTTCAATGGACTCTGCTCTACAAGTTGCACAATACGGAGAGAAAAAAATTGTGCTATATCGTGACATTTTTCATATTTCTGAAGTATAGTATGCTCGATATATGTCCTATATTTCCAAAATACAGCACATTTAATGCACTGGAGAGTTATATGATAACAGTTTTCTATGGGGTGACTCCAGTATTTGTCATTGTGTTTTGATGAAATCGATGATTATTGTTATGAATCAAGCTCACATGGATAGCACAAGGGGTTTTGTTAATCTTCTAGAAAGCAGTTTGCTTTGAAAGGCTATGAAGTCTGCCTTTGACGGTTAGCACATACCATTTTAAGGCCCATACTAACCAGTTATCTCTACCAGTTGTGTGTGCCCTCTCTGCTTGGACAGGTTGATGGCTTAACATCTTCAGGTGTTACAGAAGGACTGCAAAGCAATCTGTCAGGTCTGTTTGAAATTTACTGTATAGGCACAAGGCTATCACCAGCATGGGCTAGGAGGTGGTTATGGAGGCTTGCAAACGGAGGTGGCTGCCATCAGGACAATTTATGTTCCAATTCTAGGTTTATTTCTGTAAACACTAAGTCAAATAATGACATTGTCTGTGCCTTTCCCCTGAGTTTAGAAATTTGTTGACTGATATAAGTTAATTTTGTTATATGTTTCAGAGAAATGAAGGTCCTACAAGTTGCATGAAAATGAAGTTTCTTCCTTTATCTGTTGTCTTTGTGGGTGACAGCACCCTCCTGGGGTGTGTTGAGGGAGAGCAATAAGAATCACTCAAAATTTCCTACCAAGTTAGTAGTTTTCTAAACTTGCTGACGAACATCAGCATGCCAGGGGGAAATTTAGACATCATCCTAAGTATGTATGCAATTTTTTCTTGAAATATAAATTTGTCCCTCTTCGTTATTTTCCTGTGGAAGTTGCAGAACTGTCTTTTTAATCATGAATTATCATGGGATTCTTTCTAACATTCTAGTACATCAACCCAAATTTAGTGTGCTACTGTATTTTTAAGCAATATACACCATATAACCTATTGAACAATAACTCAATCTGTAAATTTTATATTCACTAAATCAATATATCAGTTTCGTAAGATACTGGCCTCTTAGTAGCAAGGAAGTGGTCTTTAGATGAAGTGCATAATTCATAAGATTTAAGTCATGAACATTTGACAATGCCACATGTAAGGAGTGTAATGCAAGTACAGAAAAGTTAAATTTACAGAAAGATATTACTAGCTGTAAAGCTTTAAAGTCTTATCGTTAACAGACTTTTTAATACTCTAAAGCTTTCATTTGTTGATCAGGAATATTGGGAAGGGGCTGTCAGGTATAGTTAAGCAGGCTTTTCATTATGGTACTTCTAGTGTAAGCCAAATATTTTCAGAGCGGTAAAAAAATGTGTAATAGGATAGTGTCTTATGGAAGGCAAGTGATGCTGAAAGAAAGAAAATACTGCACTTACAGGAGCTGTCAGGCTAAAGTCTTTCCTCAAAGCAGATTCAGTGCCTGGAATAGATATGCTGTTATATGAAAATGCAACTGCTTCCCACATCCTAATGTACAATATACACCATGATTTTCAGGAAGTGCATCATAAGTCAATATGGAAATAGCAGCTCTGTATCTGTGTACAGTTGGGTTCAGGAAAAAAGAAAACTTCTTTTTGTGTGCTTCTTGACAGTGAATCTGTCACTCATATTGTGGCCGAGAACAACTCTTACCCAGAGGTGCTGGACTGGCTGAGAGGACAGACTGTGAGAGACAGCTCCAGGTTTGAACTACTGGATATCTCCTGGTTCACAGCCTGCATGGAAGCGGGAAGACCAGTTGATTCAGAAATGAAGTATCGTCTCATGGTAAGACAGATCCTTCAGTGTGAATACAGTGACATTCAAAATGAATGACTGGTTTTTCTTTTTCTTTTTTCTTTTTTATTTTTTTTTCCTAAAACCATACACGTTTGTGATATAATTTTTGAATTTAAAAACTTTTGTTTCCCTATAGTTTACATGAGTAATTAACACAGTTTTAATAGATTAAAAAGACGTTCCATACCCTCTATATCAGTGTCTGGTAAAGCTAAGCTACTATGCTGTCACATGTTACAAACTGGTAATATAAATCATCCCTATTAAAAGAAGGATGCCGTTGAAGGGAAAACATCCATCAATGAAGCACTCGCTGTTGTTGTGGTGCTTGTGGTATTTCCACAAATACTTCAACATCATGGTAAACATCCTACTGAGAGCAGTGTGTTTTAATGGGCTCCTGATGGAATACTTTGCCTCTTCAAAACAATACAAAAAATATTAAAGCCCTTGCTGTTTTGAAGTGATCAGCTAACCGCTGGGCCCTTGAAAAACCTGTGAAATGAAGTCCTGAGACTGCAGTCTGTGGACGTGTGTTTACAAGCTTGGCGTCATCAAGTAAAACTGTGCTAAGGAAAAAAAGTTTTATTATATCATATTATCTCTCAATGGGAACTGGTAAGTCAGAGGATGTTGCGAATGGCAGGCTGATTATTTGATGAGTTGTGTTTGACCTGGAAGCAATGGATGATGACACATTTTCCTCTGATCTACGTCTGACAAAATGATGTGCTGATTTCTCAAATTGGAGCATAGTGTGACACAGTCCTATTGCATCCCCCTAGCACAGGCTGTAAATGCTGAGGGTGCGGTAGGGGTCCCTGGGCGCGTGGCGCGATGGCAGCACGTGCCGCTGGTCCGTGAAATAGACCCTGTGCTGGAGCAGGATGAACCTGTTCCCTTGTTTTGCGCGTCCTCATTCGTGCCTCACAGTGATGGATTTAGTGTGCACTGGTGAAGATATTGATTCATGTGTCAGGAGAATCACAAGTCTGATCTAAAGTGATCTGGAGTCAAGTGAGGGATTCCTGCTGGTTTCTGAGGGTCTGGGTTAGTCTCCATGTAAACTGTGACCCCACTGCAAAGCGATAACTGGGAAACTCATAAACACTGGGACCATGGCAGGATCCACAGCGTGTACCTTCCTGTGAGGCAGAAGATGTCTGAATATTTAACAGCAGTATTGCAGTGTTTGCTGCTTTTTCATCCTGATGTTTAGATTATGAAGGATGATTCATAAATACCACCTTTCCCCAAGAAAAACTGTAGCTCCTGATTCATTTTTTCAGTCATCTTTCATTGCCAGAAACTATTTTCCAGGATTTTACATGTAAGAATTACTGTTTAATAACACTGCCGGGGGGAGGAGTGAATACACCAGATGGAGCTGTCGCTCTCAGACTCAGCATAATTCTATGACAGAATATGTGTTTATATTTGCAATCTTTCCAATGAAGTATTTTTGCAGTGTATTTATAATATTTTCAGTGAATTTGCTGGAGGGAGAATAGAGCAAAGAAATTAATGCAAATGAGGAAAAAAAATGGAAAACCTTGTAACTACTGCATTATGTAATCTAGCAGGCAAATAGATCATAAAAATATAAATAAGTTCTCTAAACAAGACATAAATCCAAAACGTAAACAAAATCCTGTAAACTCTGAGTTTCAAATCAAGATTAAAATTAAGCAAAATTACTCTTTATGTACATTCTTAATTTCAGTGGTGCATGAAAACCTGTAGATTCAGATATCTCAGAAAATATCTTTTCCTAGACTTTCTTTTCAAAGCAAAAAATGCCTTTGTCTTCAACAATGTTGAAGCTTCCTCTTTTGATCAGTGTGAAAGCTACTGCAAGTTGAACTACCTTAGTTTTCTTTTATGTATGAAAGTCCTTTTGGAATACCACTGGAGCAGAAACTTCTGAAAAAGGTAGCAGCACTGTCAGGACATCATCGTTATACTTTGAGACTGGCTCTGCAAATAAAAGCCTCTGTTTTTATTGAAACAAAAAGATTTCATGCTAATAAATGTAGGGCACAATAAGTAAGCCAGTGACAGCTGTACTGTTAACTATAAAACTTATAGTTAAAACCAGTCTTAATTGTATAGTGACTCTAAAGCAATAAACATTTTTGTAAAGTAAACAAGGGAAGAAGAGAAATTATTCTAGAAGTTCAGCAAATTTAAAACTAATCTTATTGTTGCAGTCTCACCATGATTATTCTTTTTTTTTTCTGCCCTGAGAAATGAGGAAAGATTGAAGTAAAGGTTAATTTTCTTTTTGAGTACTAGACTGAAGTTGTGCATAATGTATTTTAATTGTAGTTTCACTGGAGACAAATTTGGTCCATTATATCAGTCTTGTAAAATGTGAAATGAAAGTGAATTAGAAACCTTGAACTCAGGCTACATTGTTAATGCCTTGCAGTGGGGAATGTTTTGGGTGAAATCTCATCTACGTGTAGGTTAGTGGTAAAATTCTCATTAATATCAATAGCAGATTTCATCTTTCAGATCTTACAGTAGCTGATTTGGAAGGTTGTTCTTCATTCAGGACATTTGTTTTAATGCATCACTGAAAAGAAATTTCCTTCTCCATGCAAAACAAGGGGAACAGAGTCAGAGTTACAGACCATTAGCTAACATATTAATTGCAACTGTCGCTAAAGTACAGCTTTCTGTTGCTCAGAATGATCTGAGAGATGCTCTGGTGTTAGTGATTTATAGAGTATAAAAGGTTGGGTGACCAGATCTAAGATGGTCTGAATTTTTATTGATTCATTTGGTAACAGTTGACTTTTATAGTTAGTAGCCATCATTTAATTTAGTAGGCTATGCAAGCGTGGTAGCCAAACATCCGCTTTAAAGGGAAATCAAAATATTTCTGGCAAAGAAATGCCTTTGCCCAGAGACACCTTTCCCACCACAAGCAGATGGATTTTCTGGACAATAGCAGGACATGGATGTTAGTATGTACGCAAGAGCATCCCCGCATACTAGAAAGTAGTGCTTCCCAGGTAATGGTAAACAAAGAGGCAGAGGGAAAACTTTCAGAGGGATAAAAAGGAAGATTCATAGATTCATAGATTTCTAGGTTGGAAAAGACCTTATAGATCATCGAGTCCAACCATCCCTAATCCCCATTAAACCATATCCTCAAGTAGCTCATCCACCCTATTCTGAAACACATCCAGGGATGGGGACTCAACCACCTCCCTGGGCAGTCTATTCCAGTGGCTGACAACCCTTTCAGAGAAGAAATACTTCCTAACATCCAACCTGAATCTCCCCTGACTAAGCTTATGCCCATTTCCTCTTGTCCTATCACCCAACACTAATGTAAAGAGCCCTTCCCCTACCTCCCCACCATCTTTCCTCAAGTATTTATAGAAGAGAGCCATAAGTGGGCTGGCATCTTCAGCAGCCTTAGGAAGTGTGCTGTGACTGTCTCTCTTCTGCCTTTTCCTCAGTCAGAACCCAATAGTTGTTAGCTAAATCTTTTCCTTTCTGAAAAAAAGAAAAAAAAAATTACTTCAACAAAGGATTTTCCTCCACATTAGGACAAGGAAGTACCACATCTTTTGATCCCTTGCCATGTCATGTGACGGGCAACTCATTTAACATTTTCCAGAGTGTCTCAGTCTGTTGCCTCATGAAGGAGAGAGGCTCTAACTAACGGAAGAAGTCCTTCATGCTGACAGTCACAGTTTCTCAGAAAATAAAATGAAACTTCTGAACTGGCTGTCTTCTCTTCATAAAATGCTGGATGTCAGCTGAATTTATTATTTGGTCAATGCTGTCTGGACTTTACAAAGCTGCTGGCTGTTGAATAGTATCATCTGACACTGTCTCTAATATCTGTGCACCTTGTTCACTGTTGCTTCATTTTATCTCTCTCTTTGTTATTTCCCTATGTCATTATACTTCTTCGCTTGTGTATTAAAAAAAATAGTTTCACAAAGAATGAAGTAGTCCCCTACAAGATTAATTCCAAAATGAAGCCTCTCTGCTGTGCAAACTGATGCTAGTGGTGCCGGCTGATTTTTTCCGCTTATGCCATGTGGTAAATGTCACTGTGAAGGAATGGCAGTGACACTTGTTACTGCAGCCTGGATGGGGGTACAAACTCCAACTTGCTCTAGCAATTGAGTAGCCTACGTATTTGGATATTTTTCCATGTTTGCCCCTGCATAATTTACCATAATTTCATTTTAATGCTGTGGAGATATCCACCCCCCAAAAAAACGAATTTTCGTGCTTAAATTTTTCTCATATCGGTAGTTCTTTCTTCCCAGTACTATGAATTATTTTGAGGTAGTGTAAGTTTCCAGGATTGCTCGTTCTACACTCTAATTGCTACTGGATGAAACTTTAGGTTTGTCCCATAATCTGTGCAAATGATTTTATCCCATCTGGTCTTCCCACCAAAAAGCAATGTAAATCCTGTTGCTATGTTCTGATGATGATAAGAGATCATCTCAGCAGTTCTCATGCAGACGTTATAATATTCCCTACAAATCAGACTATAGTAATTACAGTTTGCTAGATGCTTTTGCTGTTGATCTCTAGCCAGCTGAAGTTTCTTCTATTGTTTAGTATAATCAAGTCCTGTTAATTAAAAGCATAACTATTGCTGATTCAGAAAAATGCTCAAATATCTTTGCTAAGGCAGGAACAGTATGTTTGTGTGCCAGTCTACCACCCTCTTAAACAGAATTTCTGCATTAATTTTGCTCTCATCCACTGTGCCATGTAATGCTACATGTAGGGCTCTTGTTCTTTGTGTGTCTATGTTCTAATGAAGATACTAGCTTACTTGATATTCTATTCAGTAATGTTCTGTTTGTTCACAGTCTTTGCAGCTGGCACTATCATTTCAAGCAGTATATTAGCTGTAATCAATCATAGTTTATATGATTTAAAATCAATTTTAAAGTATAATTCATGAACGTGTGCAAAAGTGGATGAGTTGTGCTGTTGATCCTGGCTGAAACTCATTTTGGTTATTCCCAAGAGTGGTCCTACACGTAAAATAGCTTCCTTCCTTTCAGTGTATGCTGTGAAAAATGCCATATGATTCACTGTTCTTTCAGCTGTGCAAGCAAATGCCTTTTTGTGTGTGTGCGCGAATGTTATTCAACTACTCTACATCAAATACAAAGGCAATTTAGCATGAAATTATATGTGGGGGGTGTGTGAAGGCACATACATGTATTTATGGGTTTGCCTAGCACAGATGCTAGCTTTATGTCTGCATGCCTTGGGATACAGGGAAGAAAGGGCTCATTGTTCCATTATTGGGGTGAAAATTTCCTCTGTGTATCTTTGATATTTTTGTTGTTGTTGTTGAACCATTTCCTTTTGGATAGTGCAATGCAATACGTTTTTGACAGATCTGCCAAATGTTTTTGGATAAAATGACAAATAGCAAAAAATTACACAGAAACACAGAAAAAATTACACTGAGAACACTTTGGGTGTTTCCAAGGTATTTCAGATTTGGGTACTTTTAACGAAAGCAAAGAAATTAAAGGACTGGGCATATAAAGCAGCAGAAAAGCTGGTGCCAGGTTGTCTTTTTCCAGTTTCCCACTGGTCAGGATACTTACATGTTGAAGACTCACGCTCAAGATTCTCTTTTGCCAATGGGGACATGACTCTGTATCCTGCCATTCAGGAGAATTTCCTTCCCACCCCACTGGGATGGGTTGCCCACAGACTTTTTCGTTGATGTTGGTCAATTTTGCATGAAGCAAAACTAGAGGAAATGCCAACAAGGATGTAGATAGCCTGGTGCTTGGGAAACTCCATTTAAGATTTGGCATCTGGCTCCTTTTCCTTGCTGCACTGAAAACCTAAAAATGGTGTCTGAATTGGATCAGCATGTACGGAAGGGGCTGAGTGCAAAACCACATTTATAAGGTGAACACTGTTGAATGAAAGGATGAAGATGACTCTTCTATGGCTGTTTGTAAATGTTTCCTTTGCTTTATAATTACCCCAAAATAGAACATTTAGCTTAATGAATTAAATCCAAACCAAAAAAGGCTTCTTTCATTTTACCTGGAAGAGGGGGAAAAAGTTTATTTTTAAGTCATACAAAAATTTTTCCTCCACCACTGACTTTAGATACAGATTAAAAAAGTCAGTTATTTGAGCATCTCTATCTACTAGTTTTTTTTCTCCTTGATCTGGCATCCCTGATCTTATATTGAATCATCTAGTGTTTTCTGGAAAACCTCTGTTCTTTCAAGCTTATCCGCTCTTAGAGCTTTGTAGTTTTTCAATACTGCAATAGAGAGACTTGCTATGTAGAGAGACTTTTGGTTGGTTTTTTTTTTTTTTTGAATGACAGTGCCATTGAAAACTCCCTGCAAGATCTTACTTCAGAAAATGAAAGATCCTAGTAATTACCAGATAAACTGGTATTATCAGTGCAGCCAATGTGAAATTAAATGTTTTTCCTAGGAAGTTGGTAGAAGCATCATTATTCTTTTACCTTTTCTTTAAAGGTACATATTTTGGGCTCATGAAATGTATTTTTGGTATTTTAAGCCACTTGGTAGGTGTGTCACTAACGCTTCTCCCTTTTTTTTTTCCTTGTTAGGAACAAGTTCAGTCTCCTCCTTTGAATACACCTGAATCAGAAGTGCCATTTATTGCAAGCAAAGTATCTCAGTATTCATGTCAAAGGAAGACAACTTTAAATAACTTCAACGAGAAATTCACGGTAATACTTATTCTATCCATGAAATAAAAACTAGAAGTAAAATAATTAATACAGTACTTGCACTAATATTTCCTATGGCACCCTCAGCAAATTCATAAGTTAAACAGGCAGCACAATGATAAAAATTTTAAAAAGTTATAAATCTGCCATACTTAAATTAGAATTGAGTGTAAGCTTAATTGCATCTTTTAAGCATTGCTGAAAGCTTAACACAGTGGATCTTTAAATACACTATTAGCTTGTAAACGCATGAATTTTTAAAGCAAATGATAGAATAACATTCTGAAAATGTCTTTTAGCATTTCATTACAGTCTTATTTGACAAGTTGGAAATAATAAGCAAAAGTTTGGTTTAGGTCAGTTCAAGGTACTTCACAGTTGCTGTGTTGCCTTTTCTTTTACCTAGGTGTTTATTTCTTCAATGTGTGGTTTTAAGTTTCAGGTTTTCATAATTGCTTAGTTATCAAAACAGATTACATGACCAATGTAATTACTTCAATATGATAAAAAAATAACCCTTAAATTTTCTAGTTAAATAGAAATCTTAGAGACTGTCATATATCCTATTTACTGCTCATAATATTACACAGTTTAATGGGTGTGAAGAACCTGAGTCATCTGGTCAAAATTCCTCTTAAGTTATTGTGCCTAATGGCTCCTCTTGGCTGGCTCTAGATACTCAGTGAAAACTATACAGTAGGAAACATTTGACACAGAGACTCTAGTGTAGTATAGTCTGAATAAATCTGGCATGATCACATTATACGTTTCAACTATAATGCCTCCTCATCTTCTTAAAGTTTTATTATTTATTTTGTTGTTATTTATAACTTTTCTCTTTTTACTTTTTGTGTGTATGCCTATAAATACAAATCTTTCAAGTAAATATTATTTGTAAGATCTATATAAAAATAATAACAGCAGATAACAGTAATTTGAGAATAAAAAACATTTACAAGGTAAATACTAAAACCTCTGGGAATTAAGTACTGAAGATAAACCTAAGAGCAACTCTGAAACGTCTTGATCTGGGAAATCACAGTTAAAAATTAAACAACCTAAATTTTGCCTTGTAGTGATGCTTTGAAATAATAGTCAGTTATACCAATTATATAGTAGTGTTTATGGTACTCAAGTAGGTTAAACAGTTTGCTTATTTAAATAAAATTTCCCTTTTTGAGCAACCTGATGGGAGCCTGAGCTTGCACTGGAGACCTCCCAAGCTCCCTTCCAACCCCAATGATTCCGACATTCCCCAGACTGCTTCTTTTGAAATGACTGCTGTGCCCCACCTCCTGCTAGAAAAACAGGGCTGTGAATGTTGCCATTTAACCTCTTGAAAGCAGTCATTCTTTTTCACTGTTTACAAATATGCACTGCTGTAGGGGAAGATGTCAGGCCAAATATAGTACGATCCAAAGATTCTGTAAAACACCAGCCTTCTTGGAGAAATAGAAATTAAATGCCTTAGTTCTCCACTTCCTGAAAACAGTGGAATGTAGTAGTGTGTTGTTGAGTTTTCTGTAGTAGGACATTTTGTCAGTCATTCTGAAGGTAAAAAAATAAAAGTAGTTGGGATGGATAATGCCAAAGTACAATGGCTACTCCTAGAAGGCACAAAATTGTTGATTTTTAATTATCACCAATGTTTTGAGCACAAAAATGTCTAGAATAAGGTAGTTCCCTTTGTAGTGATACCTTTTAAAATTATTTTTAATTTTTGAAAATTTCTGGTATCTTTATTTGTACATTTACACAGTATTTTTCCATTTTCAAAGACTGAGTACTGTAACTCTAGTGAATATGTAGTTTGTCTTCTAGCTATTGAATTCCTGAATTTAGTCCAAGATTCAGTTAAAATGAAAGCTATGATAGCAGCAATATATTCATTGAGTGATTTCTGTAATACCTGTGTTTCCAGAGAGACAGTCCCTAAATTACTTCCAGGTTTATCATTGCAGCAGTCTTAATGTCAGAGTACAACTTGTATTTGATAAATGAATTCAGCTGAACACATTGAAAGCAGGGCGGTTCAATGACTGAAGCACTGAGACTCCCTTTTGTTATCCTATATATCAAACGTTTCTGAGTCTGGGTAGAAATTAGGTTTCGTTGTGACAAAGGTGGCAGTTTTTCATCCTTGTACTTTGAGAGTACCTGTTCTAAGTTCTTGCTGTATTTTATTTCTGGAGGTGGTCCTGGACAAGCTGATAATGCCTATGAGTCTGTCTAGCATCTGCATCTTGACAGTTGTAATGTAGCTTCTTAGGGCTCTTGCTCTTCTTCCCTACAAATGAAAACTGCAATGACAGCTGAAGGCTTGGCTGTTTATGGACTGCAAGAGCTGGCCCATTGCCTGCAGGCCTGCTAGTTAGTCTACCTAATGTTGCAGGAGCTGGATTTTCAGTTTTGCTGTTGTTTTGTTGGTCTTGTATTAAACCTGTAATTCATGTTCTCAAATAAGTGTTCCAAAAGATTTTTTTCAGTGTGAGCACTTAGCAAATGCACTGAAGCATTGGCATAATTCGCTTGTGCATGCTGTAGGCATGCATTAAATAACATATTTTGGCTGGCTCAATGCCGTACATTCTGAAAACTAGGTCCAAACCATCTTGAATTATGTGTTGATGATAGTATTTTGTTATAACTTCTTTATTCTTTGAGCCACAGTTGTTCTTTTTTTCTTACAGATTTTCTGTTTTCTTTGGTTATCTTGAAAGAATTTTTTTTTCACCTTGCCTTCAACAGAGACATAAACCTATTAGTTGCTTATGCATTCTTAGATGAACTCTTGGATTCCTCCTTTTACTGGACTTTACCCTGATACCATGCGTCAAATTCTGCTTTCAAATGAGTACTAGTTATGTTTGACATCTTTTAGTCCCTTCAGAACAGCAGGAAAACAGTCACTAATAAGCAGTAATGTGCATACAATGAGGCTTTGAATGTGGTGATTTCTTGAGATAGACACTTTTGGAGACTTGATTTCTGGAGAAATTGGTAATTAGTAACCAGTTTTAATCTTGAGTCCTGTTCTGTATATATTTTACCATGAAAGACCATGTGTTAAAATCAAATAGCAGAGATACTTGATGAGAGCTCATGAGGACAATTTGGTGGTTTAGCACAGTAGATGCAGTTTCTATGTTCAACTGTCCCATGTTTACTTTCTATTGTAATAGCCAGAAAATAACTTACAGAGCAACAAATGAATTTTACATCATGGACGAAGCTACAGAAGGATTGGCAGAGACTGTGCAGGTGTGAAGGTTTCATGACTGTGTTCAGTATGGGGCAAATCCTACCTAAATCCTACCTAAATTTTTTATGAGCTGTTGAGTAGTAGAGAGACCTGTTGTATGAAAAATAGATTAAGTATGTCAAATTGCATGCCATGGAAGAGACAGCGTCATGATGTGGCAGTTCATGGAGGAGAAATGCAACCGCTTCAGACTTGTGGGGCCTCATGCAGGCTTTGAGTCACTGTGTGTCCTCGTGGTACATAGGTTGATAACCACTGCTGATTTGGATGATGCAGGAATACACCTGAATGCATAGCCCTGACTCCACAGGTGAACTGTAGCTGTTCAGATGGGTAAAGGTGCAAAACAAAAGGGCAAATCATTTCACCAGAGACTATATCTTAGCATGTTTCCTTTCTGTTTGTCTTAAAGTTGAATGTTATTATGGAATATAATATTCCAATATTGTTCTCTGGTTCATTTGTAAATAGCTAACCATTCTCCCCCTCTCCCACTGAAAATATACACTTGGGGGCTGCATTGTGTTTTCTTGTGGTAAAATAAATGGAGTCATTCTGCTGTGCCCGAGAGGGGTTGTTGGATTTGAATATTAATACCAGACTGCAATAAAATTCAGAAAGACATTCTTCTGTGAGGAAAATACAATTTAATTCTTACCGAAGAAACTAATTAAGTCAGAAGCAAATGGTTCTGTGATTCTGAGGCTTATTGCTAATGCTACTGAATGTTACTCTGCTTTGGCTGTTACTCATGGTAATGAGAATGTGAATGCTTAGCATGGGAAAAACACCTGATTTCCTTTCCACTCTGTTAGGATTATATTTTTTCCTCCTTTTTATTTTCTCTTCTTTTATACCTACAGAAACATATATCAGTTATGCCAGTGGCTCAAGCATTTATTATTCCATTTTAAAACAGACCTCAGGAGAACCTCAACTTTAATTTCTTAATAAACTTGGGGGCTCTACAGGTAGAAAACCACTAACTGAATGCATACCCTTAGTAACATGTATGGTCTTACTGCCATAGCTTACTTCAGTAAGAATTCTCCAGAAAGTACATCAAGGAGGAAATATCTCTTCTCATTTTTAAGGTAAGTGGGAGGGTGCTCCCTAAAATACAGACAGAATATAAATACACCTGCAGCTTTCAGCAACCCAAATTTGTTTGTATGCATTAAGTCCATATTGCTTTCTTTGACCATATTAGTATGTGTAATATACATTTAGTGTTTTATGTTTCTTATTACACTGTATCTTTTTATCTAGGGCAGTGTTATGTGATTGACACCCTAACTGCATTTTTGTGCTCTGTCAGCAAATCTTTTCTCACAATTGTCTTGTTTTCTTTCACATTATGTGGAAAAATATGAAAACTTCTCAAGAGTACCATTCTTCTGTTGTAAGAAATGAACCTGTTATTATTGGTTAATACGAGGGGCAGCTGGAGCTAACAGATATTTACTTCTAATAACAGTGTGTATACAAGGACCCTGAGATTGTGTACATTATGCTATTACTGTTATTCTCTCAGTTCCTTTGTTTCTCCAGCTGATGTAAGATGATGTGATAAATTCATTTGACCTGGGCAAATATTGTGCTTTTCAGTTTAGAAACCAGAAATAAAATTTTAAAAAGGTCAGATTGAACAAAAATGGATCATTTAATTTATTTGGAAATCAAATAGCACAAGTCAACATTACAGGTTGGCTCAAATTGCTTAATTCTCCTTGAAGTA